AACGAGGAAAACTAATGTTATGTAAAGCAGAGATATCTTCCGTCAGGATCATAGAATGGCTGGGTTGGAAGGAGCCTTAAAGCTCACCCTGATCCAGTAGTGGTTACCCCCTACCTGATCAGGCTGCCCATGGCCCCGTCTAACATGCCCTTGAGCACCTCCAGGGATGGGTCATCCAGAATGTCTTCATGCAGCCTGTTTCAGGGCCCCCCACCCCTTGAGAAAAGACTTTGATTCTCACATTTCACCTAAATCTCCCCTCTTTTAGTTTAAGACCATTCCCTGTTGTCCTGTCACTATCAGACCATGTTAAAGGTAGGGGAGGAGAGCAGCACAGTCCTTCATGGTCTCCATGGTTGATTACAGGAAGCCATAACACATGGGATTAATGCAAGAAAAACTACTCCAGGCTCCTTTTAAACCAAAGGAAATCTCTCCTTTCTCCCTGGACAGGGGTGTTTTCTATGTTGATACCCGCAGGGAAGCACAAGATTGCCACGTGGGTCCAAAGAGAAGATATAATCTCTGGAAGTACCTTTGGCACAAGGGATTTTTCACCATGGAGCTCTCGTGCCTCTGAAGGACATTGTTTTATACCTTCATGCTTCTACTTGCTCTGAGGTATAAGCGGGGAGAAGCAAGAATGATAAAAATGTAGGAGCTGCATCCCCCTCCTCCCCACAGCAAAGAAATTCAGGCTCAGCAACAAGGGCTCTTTTCTCTCTACCCTCCAGGAGACAGAACAAATATCTCAGAAGCTTGAAATATTTCAGGAGGGTTACCAAAAGGGTATGTCCAAGCAGCAAGATTTACTGCAGAAACTACGGTGGGTAGCAAGAAGCATTTGCTTAAGCTCCAGCTCCAATGGAATGGGCACCTGAGTTGGGTTTGCAAATAGAGCAAAGTGGAAACAGTGACTAGGAACACTGTTGGAAGAGCTGGAGCTGTTGAATGTGTGTGGAGTGAGATCAAGGAAGGACCTAAATGGGCCTTCATCAAACCCTTTTTTGGCTCTCCCTTAATTGAGGGATGCAAAGAGGAACATGGTCAGTTGGTGTAATCACACCACACAACAACTTCTCTCACCCCCACTGCTCTACTGTTAAAAAAAAAACAACTGTAATTCAGTTTGACAGCTGCCAAATTAGCAGCATATTATGCAGCATATTCAATTAGACAAGCTCCTGAGGGAGCAGGCAGAGCTATAGCAGGGCAGCCAGCTGCTGCCGGGATGCAATGCAGTGCTTCAATAAAGTATTTTTAGACATGGACGTGGGCATTCAGCAAAGGAATAAGGATCCCTTTGGTCAAACCAAACCAACTCTTCACCATCTGCTTCCAAAAAATATTTGTAAAAAGTAAAAATAAAAAGGTGTTGCTGCTGGATTCACAGTAGTTCTTGCATCAAGCCTCTACCAGCCTGTATCAGTGAGGTTAGTAGGGGAGGAAGCAGGGCAGTGATGGTACAAAAGTAGCAAAGCAAATAATTTTATGTCCATTTTTTCCCAGGTCCAACTGTCTAATTTGGGAAGTGGGTGCTGGAGAATTGAGCCAGCACTTGTCTCCTGCTCTCGTCTTCCACTGAGCCCATAGCTGCTTGCCCTGGCTGTCTACATTCTCCTTGTCCATGGAGCACTCAGCACTCCATGTGCTCAGCAATTTGCACGAGGAGACATTTATGGACCTCTGCAAGTCTTTCTTGAGTTGTAAAACGTTTAGCCAACAAATTTCATATCCCCTCATTTGGGAGGAGGTCTGAATCAATACACTCTACTCTTATTCATCATTCCTTAATTCAGCAGCTCCTTGTCCTACAGCATCCACATGGTCCTACGCCATCCATGGTTACTTCTACCACGTTGCTATGGGCTTGGGGGAGGAATGGGGATAACAGGATCATAGAATCATTCAGGTTGGAAAAAACCACTAAGATCATCTGGCCCAACCGTCCACCTACCACCAATATTGCCCACTATGCCATGTCCCTCAGTCCACATTTCTTGAACATCTCTAGAGACAGGGATTCTACCACCTCCCTGGGCAGCCTCTTCCAGTGCCAAATCACTCTTTTGGAGAAGTTTTCCTCCAGCATCCAATCTGAAGAGCTGCCTTCAGCATAAAGCAAAGACTGGTAAAGTCTTTTCCATTCACGTGGATCACCAGTATGGATTTTATTGGATGCTGAATATTTAATAAAAAAAAAAAAAGGGGGGGGGGGGGGGCATACAGGATGGAAATGTTCCGGAGGCACACCCCCCCCAACCGGGGGGGGGGGGGGGGGGGGTGGG